CACATGTGTATGATTTTTAGCCGTAAAATTTATCTAAACATTTTTGAATATTTATAATACGCGACATGATATATTACTAATGTGCATACTTCACTTTAATAATGAACATTCAGAATACAATTTCTACAAATATTGAGATATACTTTATAATTTCCAACTACTATGTAATAATTTAATGCATACTCAAGTTTATAATCATTTTCTAGAAAAATAGTGGTATTTTCTAAGTGAACGTACTCTTTGTCTTTCTTTAGAGACCAGATAATGGTAAAAATTTTCATTGCATGCATTTCTCTTTTAAAATAATTCAATTATTTTCAAGGTGAACTAACCAAGAGAATTACTTATTATTATTACTTGTATCGTCGCCATAAATATTTAAATATTGTTTGCTGTTGTATATTAAATATTTGCTAATTATATTACAACATATACGATGTTGTGGTAACTGATGTTGGCCCAGGATCCCCTGTGCCAACGGGAATTGGGGTACGGATATCCCAACATAACAGCGTTTTCATTTGTCATTTTTCGTGGGGATTTCAATTTCAAAAAACCAGATTTCAGTTTATTATGGCATTCTATTACAAATATTATAGCCGTCAAATTCAATTCAGATTTAGATTTAGTTAACTAATTTATAACATCACTTGCGCACTAATATATAACGTAATTCCGGATATGTTACAACAATAAATGATATACGTGAATCGTTGAGTTCGTCTAACAACTGCCACGAAAAAATATATAAAATTCCATTTCATTTCAAATTTATTCCATCACTCGAAAATATAATATTTAATTTGCACCATATAATGTACCCCTTTGCACCCAATTTGTAAAAATATTTCTTTAGACGATTTTGCGACAATATAAGGATATATTTCGTATATATGTCTATATTTCTCATTAAATCTTCATGAAATATTAAAGATTTATATTAAATAAATAATTAAATAAATAATTGTTATTATCATAATATTGAGCCAAAGTAGTTTATAGAATAATTTCGAATAATATTTTAATTAATAAACGTAATTTTTAACTAATGAATTATAGAATTTATACTATTTGTCAAAACCAATGCACTGCATTGCATAATTGTAATAAAATTGTTAAAAATCTAACATAAGTTTGATAATTTAATATTAATAATAATTCAAAATAGTTGAAAATTTAGTTGGTTAGAAATTGTTGACAAAGACGAGGTACATATATGCATAGATCAAGCATTTTACGGGATTTTGTGGCCCGTGACTTGAAATACCGACATAGTAAAAAATCACTGGTTTTTTTTAGCGTATTCTACGTTTAAACAACGGTAAATTGGGGAACAAGTACATCAAGTAAAACGATAGAAGTTGGTCAAATAGTAAATGCGCCAAAAATATGATTTTTGAGACCCATTACAGTGTTGTCAAACTTTCAATACCGAAATGTGAAGCTAATAACTAAGCATTTTATTACATATATGTCAGAAAGAACTCTATCCACGACTTTTTTTAAATATATAGTAAGAGAGATGAAGACAATATGCAAGTCTGAAAGAGATACTGAATGAAGGAAGCGGGAAAGAAGCGGTAAAATGGCTTAGGCGAATAGAAAGGAGAAAGAAAAATAAAGAGAGACAGGGAGAAGAGAAACAAGAGATAAGGCAGGTCTAAAAAGAAGAGAGCAACAAAATAAACATGAAATAGAATGAAAGAATTAGATATTAAGATATTAAGTAGACAAAAGAATAATATAGTTAAGATAAATATAAGTATAGGATAAAGCAAAATAGGATACAAAATATTATTTAAATATTAGAATATGTAAAAGCAAGGATAAATGCAATATGAAATGTGCAATGTAAAAACCAAAGTCAATTTCAAGGCCAAAGAGGCTGAAATAAAAAATATACATACATATAGTAAATTAAAATTTTAAAATTATTAATACATGGTTTAAGGTATAAATGATTGATATTTTATTAAATATTCTTAAAAACTTTTTAACTAACCAAATTTTCAACTATTTTAAATTATTATTAACATTAAAAATATTAAAATTATTATATTTCCTCATTTACTTATGTTATATATTCAAATTTATTTTAAATTTTTAACAATTTTATTATAATTATGCAGTGCTTTGGTTATGTCAAATAACAAATTCTATGATTCATTAGTTAAAAATTGCTTGATAATTAAAATATTCTTCGAAATTTTTCTATAAACTACTTTATCTATCAATATTGCTACAATAACAAAACTTTGTTATTTATTTATTATAAATCTTTAATATTTCATAAAGATTTAATGAAAAATACAAACATATATACGGCACATAACCTTACATGTCCTGCAAACTCGACTAAAGAAATGTTTTTACAAATTTAATAAACAACACATTATGTGGTATAAATTATATTTTTATATTTTTATATAAAGGAATATGGGTGAAATTTTAAAATCAAATGAAATGAAACTTTTTTTCTTCATGGCATTTATTGAGACGAATTCTTTAGACGAATATTATTGTATGATATTATTTGTTGTTGAAAAATATATAAAATTGCGTTATAAATTACTGCGCAAATAACGTTATAAATTAGTTAACTGAGTCCTAATCTGAATTAAGGCTAATATTTGTAATAGAATGATACATAATAAACTGAGATCCGGATTTTTGAATTTGAGATCCACACGTGAAATAAAGACCACTAATTGCTAACTGTTTTACACAGATTTTTCACAGATCTTTATTAAGACTAAGATAAGATTAAAATAATATTCGATAACTTCCTGATATAAAAATGTTATATGTGAGCTCTTTTCGTCGCGTTTATATATTTTTTTGTTATTGACCGAATTTTAGATTCATAAATAATCATATATAAAATTTAAATAAATAAATATAAATTTTTTATCCCAATTTTCATCGATCGTTGTTTTAAATCGTTATATCCCTTCATTGATGAAGTAATGTACCGCCACGTTCAATTCAATTAATAATTCTCGAAGCAGATGTGACAATACTGTCCATATTTTTTAATTTTAATTTTCATCACTAGTAGCGCTGTAGTACAAAACTTGCCTGAATCGGTACGACAGAATGTGACACGAAAATGGTAAGGGGGTGCTGAGACCCTCCAATCGTGGGCCGAAGAAAATATATTGTATACGAAGTCTATTCATATACCTCTGTGGTTCAGAGTAATCAAAGCAAAAGTTTTATATATTAAAAGAAATTCAAGTAAACACGACTGTTACATGATTCTTTTCACAAATTTCTAATAAGATTTAGTTCTAATTATTTCAGAAATTTGTTCAATACCCAGATGCAATTATTTGACATTTCGTTAAATCTGATCGGATAATTTTGATTGAGTTCGAGGGAATACCTAAGACTCTCAAACAAGGATCATGCAGCCTATTTTGCTAGTTTCATCATTTCATGAACCAATCGGTGGAACATTAACAAAAATGTAGCAATCATGTCAAATTTTTAGATTTGACGACTATACTTTTGTCAGAATTTCATTTACATATTCTAAACTTCCCTTTAACTCGCTTTTCATTTGTCATTCTGCACGATGACAATCGTGATGAAGTCTCTCTCGGAAAGAGAATGAGAATGTGCAGTACTCAATGAGAGTATATCATTTTGATAAAATTTCAATAAAGTATGTTAAAATATTCATTGTGTTATTAAATATCATTAAATTCTTGACAAAATTGTAAAGAAATTCCGTAGTATACTACAGAATTCACGTAGTAGTAGAGGCACAAACACGGGGTGTAAAGGACTATGGTTTCTAAAAGAAATAAGGCTACTATCTGATGTCAAACAAAACAATGATCAGCAGGAGTGACTGAAAGAGCAATTCGATACGAGAGCTTGAACAATTTAGACGAACGGCAACTCTTTCGAATATATATCAATTATATAATTTATTTTACAAAATCATTCTACAAATCCATATTTTATATTAGTGCTTGCACAGTGAATGCCAGAGTATTGTGTTCACTTGACTATAATAGATATCTGTAACGTGAAATTCAATAAAATAATATTTTATAAACGTTTCGTTCTGAAAAAAATTTCTTTAGAGTAAATGATTGGAATGAAATTTAAATGATTAAATTTTAATTTTTTTTAATTTTATGCTCCATAAGAAAATTGACAAAAGTATTAGATTTTGATCACTTTTACTTTGAAATATTGTAAAAATGACTTTGAAAAAAATTCTTTCCACTTACAACGAATGTACGTTTCAAAATATTGCAAAAATCGTTAATAATCCACACAAGTGGTTGATGCAACTTTAAATAATGAAAATAAAAAAAAATAGTGCAACTTTATCTCGAACATTTTCTTCATAACAATAAAAATAATTTTCATTTAATAGCTGTATACTGTATAAAATTAAGATATAGCTAATAAAGCATTTCAAGGAACATTGATCTTTTTTCGACATTGTACCCTAATATTTTTTTATTCACAATAGCACGTAGAAAAAATTCCATCATAGAAAAGATAATCATAGAAATTTATTAAAAAGACAATGCTTTTATGGGCTTCTTAAACATTGTCTTATTACTAAATTTGCATTTGTTTATTATGATTATTGTATGAACATATGTATGTTTGTTCGTCTCTGGAGTCAATGTCATTGGATTTAATTCAATAAATAGTTTTCGATGAGGAAACGGCAACACTGTCCATATATTTTGATTTTAATTTCTATCACCAATAGCGCTGTAGTGCAAAACTTGCCTGAATCGGTACGACAGAATGTGACACGAAAATGGTAAGGGGGTTATATGCCCTCCCCCCCAAACATAGGATATGAAACAGTGTTGGATGTTTAGTCTATCCTGTTAGTCAATGCTATTAGTCAATATTTAAATGTAAAGTCAGTGATTTTTTTCCTGGTCGGTATTTCAGATCCTGAGACACGAAGCTTCATTTAATGTCCGATCTATTCTATTCTTAGTCAATGATGTTATGTTTTTCCTACAATCAATAATGTGCAATCACGTGTAAATGGCACATGTAACTCATACGCAATTGATTTTAAAATCGAAAATTATGCGTATAATTATGTAATTTTTATTCACGAATGCTTTATTTATGAAAAAAATAAGTTATAATTAATTACAAGTGCCAAGTTTCCTTCTAACAATTGACGGATGGAAAACAGTTGAATTTCTACCAAGTCGTCAGATATGCGTCGTGAGATTATGTGATAAGGTGTGAGATTCGAAACGATACAAGTGACTGACCATTTTTTCAATATACAAGATAAAGCAATAATTATTACTACCTTAAATATTTCCATTGTTTTTATATGTGTGAAAAAACTTTATTAATGAAAATTGTTCTGTACAAAGAGACCTTTTTTCGAAATAATATTTCGAAAATTTCAAGATCTCTTCTACTTTTTAAAAATGGAATAGCATATTTCTTCATACATCAATCGATACAGATTGACATTCTCTATAAAAAAAAAGTATTATGCATGTCGAAAAAATATTACTTTAGGAGATATTTTAATCTTAATTCTATAAAATTTGCCATATGAAGACGAGGAAAGACTCATGCATAAATTTTATAAAATTAAAATTAAAACATCCAAAAATAACAGTTTCTTGGCACACATAAATGAATGCTTTTTAGAAAATATCGCACTGCATTGATTAATACATCAAAATCTATTATTCCATCTAAAAAAATGGAGGTGACCTTGAATTCTCCAAACCCCTCCACTTACAAAAAAAATCATTATTTCCAAATTATGTTCTCTCCGCGCAATAAATAAACTTTCACTGAATGATTAACTATAAATTAACTATAACAAACTTCATTGAATGAATAAACGTTAATGAAGTTTTTTCATATTTCCAATAATAACGGAAATATTTAAGGTTGTAATAGTTATTGCTTTACCCTGTGTATAATCATATATAACCAACATATAATCAGTTTATAGCGTTCTTTGTAGCTATTTAAAATTTTTTTTAAACTAAAATCACAAACGTTTAGCATTGTAGTAACGTAGGCTACTCAGACTTTTAACATAGGAATTATCTCTTGAGTAGCAATATATATTACATATATTATATATCATGTTTAAATTAAAATTGCAAATTATTTTGTTGGTTGCTATTATTTTCGCTTAATTCATGAAATGTATAACGCTCATATTAATCGTTTTTCTTCTTTGCTTTACAAAATATATAATATCTAAAAATTGCGCAAAAGAATGAAGTCATTACCGAGGAAAAATTAGCGATGCCATAGATGGAGAGATCATCACCAAAATCCTGAAATAAAATTCATCGTATAAATAGTACAATCGTATAATAGTGGACGAGGCGCTATACTGTAATCGCGGAGAAGTAAATAAAATTCAGTGGTATAGTTGTGGAAGTGAGCGAGGATTTGATGGATCCTTGATGAATCCTTGATGGATCGACCAATTCATACTTTAGGAATGTGAAACAATCTGTGTCGAAGATTTGAATAAGAATTGCAAAACTGGCCACGTACAATACTCATCGCATATCCTAAGAATGGATACACTTCTACTTGACGCATGAAAGAAAGTTTGGAGACGGGAAAGGAAGTGGAAGCGTACGGGTGTCTATAAGTTAGTATCTAAGTAAGTAAATATGTAACCTACATTCGATATGATTCGACAATTCAGCGCGATCCTATTCTACTCCCACGTCCATTTCCGTCAATCTATACACATCTATATATCTATTTCAGTTATCATATCTAGCCAATGATAGTGAAACTGGATGGTGTTGTAAGGAAATTTGAGCTTTTCCAACAGGTAGACATAAGTAAATACACTTACAATTACAATTAGCCTAGGAAAATCTTAATCAAAATAAGAATGGAAAATGACAAACTGAAATTTATTTTCTTTCCTTCAAAAATAGCGTTTTAAATTTATTTTATTTGATTACAATCAAGATCAAATAAATTAGCTTAAAATGGTTTTGACTGTCTTTTAGTCTTTGTTTTCGAATAAAATAATAAATAATTTTTAATATTATTTAAATATCGTGTACTAATTGTATATTTCAGTTATAAATGAAAAAATGAAATTGTTACATAATGTAACAACATTTTGTTTATCTTTTATTTTAGTTCATTAATATCAAATTCATTTTCATCCACCTGCGAAATAAAAGTCGATTTTCGAATCATTCGTTACCAATGAAATATCCTTTCAATGGTGATGCAAAAAAAAATAGGTTTGCTATTTGAATGTTTTAAATGTTGATTGAATACAATACATGACAAGACTGCAATGAATTTGATGATTCGATCTAACCCATAAGCAGCATTACGAAAGAACTTATAATTAATTGGAACGTACGCACAGACTCGTACATTTATTATTTATTAATAATTAGTTGGCTAATAGTTTGGATTTATTTAGATAAATGTTTATTTATATTAATTAATATAATTTGGATTTATTTAGATAAATATTTAATTTAAGTACGTTAATTCAAATTATTTAAAAATATTTAATTCAGTACTTAATTCAAATTGTTTAAAAATTCAAATTTTATCTTTAAAAATACTTACTTTTGAGATGCAACTAGTTTGTATTTTAAATCTTTATTTTCTATTTTTATTTTAAGTTTCTTTGTGTTTAAAACAATGAAGGAAGAGAAAATATTCTTAGCATTTACGATTTAATAGTCAAATTAAGCAAGGAGAAAAATGTAATGATATTTTACCAGAAACAAAATTAAGAAAATAAAATAAATTGAAAGCTTTCGTAAGAACTGGTCGATCGGTTTTTAGTCATGAAGATACTTCACTGCGTCGCCTCACACCTGTTGCCCTGAATAGAACACGCGGATGATACGTCACTGGCCGTAAACTGTTGGCACGGCTCACCTGTTGGCCTCAACAGTGCTTGGCTGGGTTGTTAAGCGTACGGTTCCTTTCGCCCGGCGCGGCGCTATTTCGCGATCGCTTCGTTATCGTGTCTCCGTGGTTTGTTCATGTTCTGCTTATGACGCGTTTCCGTGAGAACTTCCTGTGAATATGTGGTTCCAAGCTGGAGAAACCGTGTGACCGAAATTATTCGAACTATAAAAATTCGAAATTTTGTGAGGTCGTGTATAAATGTAAGGGCGAGGGCGAGAATATCGGTGAGAATTATCGACGACGCCCAGAAAACGAAAAACGAAAAAAACAGAAAACAAGTCGTCACCTGTTTCCCAAGAAGAAGAAAAACGAAAAAAGAGAAAAAGAACAGCAGCAGCAGCAACAGCAGCGACGGCAATACTTTCCACGGATTCCTGCTCGCTATGGATTCACGTTGAGCAGGATTGTATGTAAATACTCTCGAGGAAATATCCGCAAGCTTGTTTCTGCCTCTGTCCAATCCCACCAGCCTCCGCTCCGGCTATCGTGTCGTTATTTACGCTGCTGACTAACGTTCCCGTGGAGGAGGTCCACTCCGACCGATTGTGCATACCACACAATCGTTTCGCACAGGTATGTAATACCATGCATCTATTTATTTCTCTCTCTCGTTTCATTATTTCTTCTGCATCTTTTTCTTTTTTTTCTTTTTGTGTCTCTTTCCCTGTATGTTATATATTTGTCATGTTTCTATGTTCTTGATCTCCGATTAATCAATTTGTTTTTATTTGTTATCTAACGATAATAATAGTATCAAAAATTTGATTATTATATTAGCCATATATTATCGATTCGAGCTTTTGTATTTCTGAAACCTGAGTTCTGTGTATGATATACGACCTTTTGTTTTCATAAGATTTCCTGGATTTTCTATCAAGAAGATTCAATTATGATCGAATTTAGGAAAACGAATGAGAAAGTTAAAATAAATTTCAGTTAAAAATAAAAAAGTGTTACCGGAATTCTGATGATAACTCGATAAAGATATTAATACCAGGTGTATATACGTACACAAAAGTCAGCGCGCTATATTTTGACCTTGAGATAGTCTTCGATCAAACTGAAAATTTAGATAATTTCAACACAGACTTGGCGTTTATGCCAGTTGTTAGTACGGTAGCTATTTTTAAAGCTATTTGAAATAAATTTAGTTAGAACAACAAGGTCTTTTTATTTTGGATGCGTTAATACATTCGTTATTTCTATCTGTACGAAGAAATGTTTACCATTGGAAAATGATTATTGTAATTTCTTCTTTTAGGTGTTTTTCTCGAAGATCGATCAATTATTTTTATTAATAACAGCAACATTTTTTATTTTTCTACTTTATATCCTTTCCAAGAAAAATAAAAATTTAAACAAATTTAGAACTTGTTTTTGTAATAGCAATATAATAATGTTAATAATAACGATTAGAAGTTATTTTCTTTCCTTTCCTCCTTTTTTTTTCTTTTCTTTCAAAGAAATAATTATTTAAAGAAAGAATTAATTATTTAAAGGTGTTGCTAATCCAAATTATACAGTCGTTTGAGTTTAATGACAATAGATCAAATACATTCGAGTTTACTTGCACGGTTAAGTTGTGTGTTTATTTACTTCCATTTCTCGCTTCACTTGAATATTTGCTGACTCGTTTAATTTAATACGGCTGAACCGTTTTTTTTTTTTTGACTTTGAAAGTATATTAAGTTAATTGAACGTATATTAATAACATTTGTAAATTCAATTAATTTAAACAATTGAAACTTTACTGCCCTGTTAGAATAATTACTTTTTACAAACTGTGCAATTTCTTATTTGCCAAATAGCAACTATGATTTGTGTAATTACATTAACAAAAAATAAAATATATTGGTATGCTTTTAAAATTAGTTAAGAAAAAACAAGATTAGAAAAAGCTTTTATCTTAAGTAGCTGCTGCGAAATACGTGTAACAATATGATTTTATAACGAATTTGAAGTTTTTAACATTTTCGACGTTTGTTTGCAGAATGAAAGTCAAAACAGCTTTATATAACATATATACTTAAGGGTATAAATATGTGCGAATATCGTGTGTAAGATAGATACGATAAAAAAACTTCATTTTCGATTGTAATAAATCAGTATGATTTAATAACGAATTAATCGCAAAAAAAAGAGAACCGTGTTTACAGTTAATATTTATACATTCATATTGATATTTTTTCGTTAGAATTAGTTGATATAAATAAATAATTTGCATAAACAACCGTAATTGGACAGTAACAAGACAAATATATAACGTCAATATTGTATGTTTCATTGAAAAATCGCAAGTTAGATTTAAATATTCGCTGTTAGATTCAAAGCGTTATCTGTTATAATTACATGAAATATGATAACATGACATCGATATACGTATAAAAGAAGGGTGCGTGATTTTTGTTTTACGTTATTGATGTTTGCCGCAATAGGATACGGTTGACAGAAAGCATAACGTATTGCGCGATTTTCTTACACACCTGTATTTGCTTATACGAAATTTATTTCGTCACTGAGACTGGTGAAAGCATGGTTGCCACAGCTTCAAAGAAATTATCACGCTTAAATTTTCCTTGAAAGTTAGATATGAACTCTCTAAAAGTCAGATGCAGTGAAAAAAATTTATTATTCGTTTGACATAAATGTACTTGTTCATATGCTAAAGCTGTTTCGCGGAGGATATTCTGTACTCGCTATATCTGTATTTTTATTATATTCTTTTTTACGCTGATCAATTTTGGCTCTTTATGTGCCATAGGCATACATGTATCTACATCTAAACGACTATGAACAGACGTCACATCGCGTTATTGAGATGGATTATGGACGCATATACTTTACCAGTTCAAAATTATCTAATCTGGACACTTGAATCTTTATACTCTTAAGTAACAGCGAGATTTTTACACATACAATCTTTACGATTGCTATGTGTAACTATGTGTAATAGAATGATATGAAATTTGATTTTCAAAATTTTAATTTGATTTTATACGAGATAATAAAATTGACTCATAATAATTATTCGAGTTGCAATTTTTGCCGTTCTTTGAAATGAAAATTGACATCAGTTTTGAATTAATTATTAAGAAGATCATCGATTAGAAATAACCAATTCGACCTCGATGATGGTAATAATGTGGGCATGAACTGTAATAAAGATGTTATCTCGGCATGAAAATACAAAAATTTTTTAATCGACATCGACTATGTGCTAGTCTTGTTTCTTCACGCTACCAAATACCGATCAGAGATCTTATTCTTTATGACTTGATGTAGTTAGTTAGACAATGGCAAGAGAAATTACGGTGCTGAATGTCGTGAGAAAGCCAGCACGCTGTTGACTCATTATCAAAATTCAAGCTTCGTAATTGGCAAAGTGGTACACTTCAAATCTTGCTCGCTCTATTTTCCATTAAATGCTTTATATTCATGTACATAAGTAGAAGCTTCGTGTTGCATATTAAACGATAGATTGGAATGCTTTTTCAATTTGTACAATTTCGTATCTTTAAATTAATCAATTCAAGATATCGTGAAGAAGAAAAATAGTATTCATATATAATGATATAAATTGTATGATTTATTTAAATGACCAGTCGGTAGGTCATTGGCGATCGCAATAAAAATAAGGAAAAAAGAATTGAATGTATGGACAATGAGTACGTTGCAAAACTACAAATTATTCAAATACAAGTTTATATTTTATATATATAAAATGTACACTTATCAAAGAACTACATACATTTATATTTGAATTACGTACATATACATACATTAAATATTTGAACACTTATCAGAGAACTACATATGTTTATATATACATTTTTTTTTTAATATAAATAAGTTCTAATGAATTTTCGAAAGCCAATCTTTAATACAGATTTGTATAGATATTTGAAGTTCAGGATTTTCTTATAAATATGCTTATAAAGATTATAGATATTTGTATAGATATTCTCACAGTTCATATATTTCCTCATG